CTGTTCAGCATCCTTACCCCTTTGCGTGCCATACACCAAGGCATGCAACACAAATCCTACACTTTCCTGCCATCAAAACATTCTCCAGCAACTCTCAACGTGTCTTTTAAAATAAACATTTCGACTAATTAGACCTGAGAAAACATGCACAAAAATAATGGTATCTTGGGATGCAGGAGAACAACAGGTTCAGTGAAGACCAGAGTCCAATGCTATTTAGGTGTGCACTGACAGTCAGCCTGCGTTAGAGCAGTCTGATCCTAATTAGCACAGGCACAAAAGACTGTGCTCCGAAGCCTTCTTATTCAGCAGTTAGAATAAATAAAGCAGCCAAGCTGCATTCATATACCCCATAACAGGCAGGACCTGGATGCCTACCCAAGTCCAGGGATTCACATGTCAAAAAAATACCAAGATCACCAGGATTTGGGAGCTCAAAGGTGGATTGCTCATTAGCCTTCTCAGGCGGGTCCCTCCATCTTTCCCCCTAGATTTGTTCTATGGATGTACGAATAACCAAATATTTATTAGATGGAAAAAAAGAAGCCCTATGGCTCTGAAGCTTAAATCCCTGTACCAATGCGTACAAAAATGGGACCTGTTTAACGACCAGAGTTACTGGAACAAAGTAGACCATTTCTTTCACTCTGATTTTGACCAGAATCCTACTTTCGATCTGAAAAGCCTTTTATAAAAATTAACCACAAATGATATGTTTCTGCAAGAAGTTTTCATTTTGTGAGAAAAATTCCAGACTAGCTCTACGTGAGGACCACACACTCATATGGACAGAAGATGTTGATGCTGATGAATTGCTGCTTTCAGCTGTAGAATTTAATTATTCTCGTTCTCCACAGCTGGCGGTATTGTGTGGTGATGTGTTTGTCTTCTGACACCTCGGGGGGGGGGAGAGAATGAAATGAATTTTCTACATTCACAGTGCCAAAGGGACAGTTCGAATAAGAAATGCTGCAATAAGACCTGCATGACTATGTCCTCTAGCATGAATGATGAATCCAGGTTCTTTAGATCTTGTTTACTAGTAGCACTTACAGACTGGAAGCATTTCTTTAAAAATGTTATAGGAACATTATGCTAAAGTTAAGCCTATTTTGACAGATGAAAGAAATGAACTAGTTTATATTGGCCGATTTCTAGCCTGTATTCCTGAAGTCTTTCCCTTCACTTTTACAGGCCGCTGGGGTCACTAATCCTACTCATTTTCAGTTTGTCAGTCAATAATCGCTTACATGGCACTATGTCTTCGGAAATGACAGCTGAGACAAGATCTGATGCGCAGTCTTTCTTCCACGATGCATTCCTGAATACAAGTCTGAGGCAGCTGAAAGGATTGAATACTCTGTATCTGATAATAGCACATTCACCAAGCTCATCTCAGAGAAGGTTGGGGGGAAGTTTGCAACACTGCTACACGGGAAATGTCTCTACTTTGATGGCATAGTGAAGTCGTACGAAGCAGAACAGTCCCTGCTGCTGGACATTAACGAGAGTCAACTTTTTTTTTTTTTTGCTCTAAGGCATTTTAATCGTATCACAAGCTGAGGCCATCTGGCTTAAGAATGAATATTCAGTATCTGTAGCAGAAGCAGAAATACTTGAGAGGGAAATAATACCTTCCCAGCTTCCAGCTCGGACAGTACCCATCACTAAAACTGGTGTGTTGCAGTTGGCTAAATTGCAATTTCATGCCTAACCAATGTCTTTTTAGGCTATTATTATCTTATTAATTAGTTATTGTTTACTAGTTTGGACTTTATGTCTTCAACAAGAAGATCACTATATGTTAAAAACTCCCAAAGGACAACATATTTCACCACCCTCTGCAGAGAACTGTGACAGCTCATCAGCTTTTATTTACTGAGAAGTCATAGGGCTAGAAATCAATTTATTTTTTTGAGGAATAAACATAATTTCTCTGTTACATGTGACAGGTGCAATCCCTGTTTAATAAAAATGTAGAGAAAACATTTGCAAAATGGAAGAACAAGTATTACAGCAGACAATAACTTCCCTGAGAAAGAATCGAGCTGAGAAAGAATGAAACCATCACTTCTAAAGGGCAGGCATTCTTTTCACAATTTTTACGACTGTCACTGGCTCCTTTAGCTTGGCCTATCTTATTTCTACAGGGGTGCCTTTCACTGCAGCTTGTTGGGGAAAAAAAGAACCGAAAGTGATTTGGCAGAGATTTTTACTGAGCTACATATGAAGACCAGAAGACAATGTTTCACAGTTCTGAGAAAATCAAGCTGTTAATAACTTTGAGTAAATTATATGTACATTTCATGGCCTATTTACAAGACTGTAGGTTTATTGCTTAAGTACCTAAATATCTTGAGGCAGGTCTGAGGTAGATACTGAGCTGACAGCCTTGTCTGCCACACTGAGCCACCTCAAATATGAGCAGCCCAGTGAGAGCTGAAGCCAGATTGTGATCCCTAGGAAGTATTTGACTTGAATGCAACTGGGACCAGTGCTGGTGCAAATGCATTTAAAGGTACTGTAGGCTCTGCCACAATATTTTGGAATTAAATCAAACATGTTGACTCTCTCCTGAGGGAATGTGATGTGATAAATACGTGATGCATTTCTTCACCAGAGCAATCTGGACTGCGTTGGCTCTCATGAGCACCAGGCTGCAGTGGGTGAAGCAACTTCCTGCATGCATTTAGAAACCTCTCCAGAATACTTCAAAGTGATAAAAGTTAGTTGAGCCAATATGATTAGAGAGCTATCACCTCATTTTCACTGCATTACTGCCATAATCCTACAAGGAAGGCTCATACATGTGCATTCGGGAATGAAATTCCAGGGGAGAAGAAATCCATAATACCAACTATCAGTTAATAATACCAGGCAACTGAATTTCCTTGTACTTCCTTTCTTACTTTTCTCAGGGGAAATTTACCCTAGTGCATAAGACCAACACAAGACCCACCAGGCTTGAATGCTGGATGCTACAGCACTCAGTACAGTGTTACTGAAATTGCCCGGCAGGCTGTCAACATGAGCTTGCCATGGAGCTAAACATCACCTTGTGATGCAGTTCTGCCGGAGCTGAACAGGACGTACCTATGTGATGAAGTGCTCCTGAATGTGAGAAAGGAAGGCAAAGTCAATCCCGAATACATAAACCTATCTTAAAGTAATAAGCAATAAGCAAAGAGTAAAAGTCAGAGCTGCAACTCAGAAGTCTAAGGGAGGACGGGAAGAGCAAGAGTTTCCCTCTCCTTTGGCTTATAGGAAAAACACATTGAGTGTTATATAAAAATGTGAAAATCTCAACCTTGATAACCGAAGCATTCAGTTATCCAAACCTGAAGTTATTCTGACTCAAAAAGCAACTGAAGCATTTGTTTTTCAGGTAGTACGCACATTGCACTTCCATGCAAGTCTATGTCTGTCTGTCACCTGTTGCAAGGCAGAATTCCTCTAGAGCAGTATCTCATCCAAAGACTAGGAAGTGATCCGGAACTATCGGTGGGATTGCTATTAGAGCTGTAAGTGTGAGACTTCCCCTTGTGATAAATCCAAATTAATTTTATGTGTGTTCAGTGACATCTCATTCAGTGTCTAAGCATGGTCACTACAATAGAAAAATGTCTCCTTGGGCACACCAATAAAACTTGATGGTACTGAGCGCTGTAAACAACAAGAGACTCAATTCTCACTCTCAGACATGCAAATTTTGTCAGAATTTTGTGGCTTTCGAGGAAGTGCTGAGCACAACCTAAACATCTACATGAAACTGTTATGTTAGCAAGGTGAAGTAAGTCCAATGAAAAAACATCACCACCTGAGACTGATATTTAAAATAGCAATCATAAGAGGCAAAACAAGTTTAATATATACAGTCTGGCAAAGCTGCATTCAGCTTCTTTAAGAATGCATTACATATTATGAGCATTCCTATTACAATTTTATTGCAATATTCAAGGTGTACTCAGAAGATACTATTATTTTTTTTAAATATGGGTTTATTTGTTTGCATCTTATTTTACAGCCACTCTTCCAGCCTCCAGTTTCATTTCTAAAATTAAAGCTAGTGATATTTCCATATCAAAGTTTAAAATTAATTTGCTTTGTGGGACATGCCCCTTGATCTAAAATACTTCACTTTAATTAGGACATTTAATTTTCTCTAATGGAATCAGGTTCCATTCACTTAATCCAAAACTACTTTCTGAAAGAGTTGTAAGCAGTACATTTTTCTCAGCACAAGTCTTCCTAAGGCTTGTCCGCATGGGGAGGTTGCACCTATGCAGCTAAACTGATTTCAGACTGATCTACTTACACCACTACAAAAAGCTACTGAAGTTAACCGTAACTGGGTCTGCCCCACTTCTGGATTGGTTTTATCAAACAGCTCTAAGTTTCCTAACGCAGACCAGGAAGAGATAATAGAAAATCTGGTACCATTACAAATATGTGTTAGGATGAAAAAACTAAATGAGAATTGTCCCACCTCCCAGAGCACGAGTGTCTGGACCCACACGGCCTGGAGTACGACCACTTCCCACCACCATTTTTGTACAGCTTCCTTCTTCCCTTTGCCCTCTTCTCTCTAATGTGTTGCGTACATGCAGACCATGCCAGAGCATGTCTGCTTCTCATTAAGAGGATGTGCGAGACATTTCTGAGGAACACTTTGCATATTTTGGCTCCATGTTAGGATGATGTTCTGCCGCCATGCACACACAAAGGCACATGGATAGATCAGGGCACAGACAGTCAGTGCATGGGCACAGACAGTGAACGGCATTCCCCTCCCTTACTGTAAGAGCTTGTTCCCTCCATTTAAAGTAAGTGTTTGTTCTGGGGAAGGCCTGTCTTTATCAATTTTGTACATCTCATCAGCACAGAGAAATGCAATAAATACTATACATTATGATAAAATCCAAAACACCTTCAGCTCCGCGCTTACTACAGCTCTCGCAACGCAAGGGCACAGCAACAAAATTATTTTAAAAACTGCATACCTTGAAAAATAGCCAGGCTGTCATCCATTTGGCCACTTTTACAACCCAAAAGACATGCTTGTAGAGCTCAGTATTCACTACTCCAGGGTCTACTACATTAGCAGTCACATGGCTTCCATTTGCAGTCAGAAGGTGCTGTAGTCGATAGGTAAATAACACAAGGGCAAGTTTGCTTTGGGCATAGGCTCCATGGGGTGAATACGAACATCTGTATACAGGAGAGAGAGGGAGAGAGAGGGGATACACATAAAAATAATCAGAAGGAAAACAGAATTGCACAAACATCAGAGGTACTGCATTTTGTAATGTCCAGCAAACAGCTATACACTGAGTCGGCACAACAAACAGTTATCACCGGCAGGCGTGTTGTTTGCTGGTGTTCTGGTGATTATTCCATCAGACACCAAATGTGATTTAGCAGGGGGAAGAATTTAAAATAAAATTACACAGTACCTGCCAGAATCTCTCTGTCAAACTGTTTTAACTAGAAATGCTGAGGCACCAGTCTCCAGGATATCATCACCTAGAGACCCTCAAACTACTCTCCCCTTCCTGACCGCCCTCTTCCCACACATACATACCCTGTTCCCACTCAGTAAATCCGTGCCTGATCATACTACACCTGGTTATTAATATTTGTATTGCAGCAGGACCTACTAGTTTCTGACAAAGGCTCCTGTGTTGGGCACAGTATCGATGAGTGAGGCAATCATTGCACCTGTCCCAGTGACACACCAGGTTACGCACAGCTAAAGAGATGGATAAAAAGATGGAGCAAGTGTAACCACAGTTATGCCATACACAGACTTTAGAGCAACAACAGCTGGTTGGGTCTGTGCCAAACAGGAGATGCGACGAAGGCACACAAATACGGGGGGCTACGGCAAAACATTACCTGTTGAGACTCCTGTGCACCTCTCTCACTTGGATGCTGAATCTGCCTTTCTTTCAAGTCAAACTTTCTAGGAACTGCTGATTAGTAGGGTTTCACTGCACGCAGGCAGCAGTGGGTTTTTTTCAAATAAACAGGCTAGTTTCAGGCAAATTAGCAGGTATGTTGCTTAAAATGCTCCTCCTGACTGGGGCCTCAGCATCACTTCCACAAATTCCTATGCAATGACAATTCACTCTTGTAATTACTACAGCCTCTCATCTAACCTTTTTTGTGCTTAGCAGAACCAAAGGTAATTCCTGGCATTACAGACGGCTCACAGGCAAAGCAGGCGGGAGCCTAAAGCAACGGGCTCCTGGGGCCAGCAAAGCAGCTCTGGTCCCCATCCCCTTTGCCTCTGCCAGAGCCTGGGGAAGCGGTGCTGCTCGCTGCTGCCTCCGACGTGGAACCAGAGGTTCGGGTCTGTGGGGCAGCAGCTGCTGCTGGTGGAGGGAGATAGAGGGGTGCCTACCCAGGAGCAGATCTCTCTTTCCCAGCTCTCTCCTCGCCTCTCCCCTAGTTGTTGTCCTGCCTCTGTGACAACTGCAGCTACAGCTCCATCCTTTACACCTTCACCCTTAGTGCAACAAATACGCGGGCTGGGGATGCTCCTACTCTGCTGAGAAGTCTGCCTTGGTTTTCTGTGGTTGCTACTACATGCAAGGTTTACATTTTGAATGAATAGCAGATATGTCTCAGAGCTCTTTTTGTTATCTCATTCTCATTGAATACCTTATTTATAATATCCTGTACACTTCACCACAGAAAGCCCTGGATGCTAACAAACAGGTTGACTCTCTGCAGAGGTATAAGGCTACTGAAGCAAGTTAACTGTTCATGTTATCCGAATGGACTCAGAAACTTGGAGACACAATGGTAAATCGTACAGCTGAGCTACAGAAAGTAAAAGACAACATTGAATCTGCAGTGCATCTCTTTTTTTTTTTTTCCTTCTTTTTTTTCCCTGCTCTATTCTTCTTCCAGCAAATCACAAACAAATGGGCTACAAAAGCATTATATAAATTGAGAGAGAATAAAAAAAGGACAGCTGATCATAAACAGCCTTTGCACCAACCCATGGCCTGAGCTATGACATGCTGGATAACGTATCTCCATCATCATAAAGATATCACCTGCGCCTCAGGGTAAAATGGGTTATTTTAAGCATAAAGAACAATCACTGCATGAATATAAAAGTGACTTGGCATTAGTCAGGAAAGTGCAGTTACATTTTAAATTCAGTAACGTCCGTGCTCTGATCCGAAACACTCAAAATGTCACCTTATGCTTCATACATATTTCAACCCTTTTAACTTGAAGGACCAGATCCTCAGCCACTATGAGCTTCCCTTGCGCAGCCGTGCGGGGCAGAGCTCTGGCCACCCATGGGAAGAAGCACTCATCTGAAGCCGCCTCCGGCAGCCAGCTGGCAGCCACCCCTGGCACTTCTCCATCGGTGCCACCATTCCCCCACTGCTGGAGAACACAAGCTGGGGCACGGGACAAGCCTACCGAGTTGAATTAGAGTGATCTTGTCTGGCAAGCGGGTCGCAGGGAAGCAGGGCTGGGGACTACTCTGACTTGTTCTGCCTGGGTCTGGTCTGGCCTTCAGTAACCTTCAGATGCCAGGCAGGAGGATGGTGAATGCTCCCCATGACTTCCCATTCCCACATTTTGTGCAAGCGCTGTTTTGACTTACCTTGTGGCAATGAAGCATGAACTACAAGGGCTGGATCCTCAAAAGCTTTGTACTTTGCATAGATATCTATGTCAGAGAAACACAAGTGCCGAGAAGATATAAAAAGCTATCCAATCAGCAAAGAAGCCTTTTATATCACAGTGCAGTGATGCAAATAATTTGCAAGGCAGCGGGGAATCACACTTCAATAACATACTATAGATATGAAGGATATAAAATTGGATATACAGAGCAGACACTTTTGGCAGAACCCCTGCAATGATTACCTGCTCTCTTCCCATTTTCTCTGTGTGTGTTTTTTGCTTTCCAGGAATCTGACATCAATGGCCTACATAAAACAGAGGAATAACCCAAACTGACAAAGGTTTTCGTTGAACAACTGTTTTGTTTGTGAGACTCCATCTTATTGGAACCATGTTGTTTAAATGCCACAATGGAAAAAAATCAACACTGGCTACTTGATTTCATTACATCCAGTCTTGACTTTATGCATCAGAAAAATAGGAACACGTAGACTCCTGTATCTGCACCACGATCGCATCTCCCATGTACATCTCCCATGTACACACATGTAGAATCACAGAATGGTTTGGGTTGGAAGGGACCTTATGGACCATCTTGTTCCAACCCCTCTGCCATGGGCAGGGACATCTTCCACCAGATCAGGTTGCTCAAAGCCCCATCCAACCTGACCCTGAACACTTTCAATGATGGGGCATACACAGCTTCTCTGGGCAATCTGTTGCTGTGTCTCATCACCCTCATTGTAAAAATTTTCTTCCTTGTGTCCAATCTAAGTCTACCCTCTTTCAGTTTAAAACCACAAAATGTATTCCTCTTACACATGGAATTACCTGGTTTTAAAGCCTATGCATCTAAATCTAGCCTCTCTAGGCGCTCTTTGCTCTGTATGTACATATCCTAGACTGAATGAAAGCATAATTGTATACGAAATAAAATAGGATTGACATTAGGCATTTCCACATTGCTTTCATTTTCTGAAGGCTCCAAAAGCTTTCTGAAATGAAAGTGCATATAAGAGGCCAACCAACCCACAGCAGAGCACAGCTTACCAGCACACTGTGCTGGCACACCAGTGCATGCGAGGTGCCTGTGACGCTTGGACCCCTGAGGACACAGGGTACTGATGCTTCACAGCAAGACAGGCAGACTCTCCAGCAGAAAAACTCTACCTCCTAACTAGGTGGGTCAGCCAGACGAAAGACTTCTAGCTCCCAGCTCCCAGTGGTATACATGCATGGTGAGCAG